GCTCAAAAAAGTTTGAAAACAGGTGATATTAAACTTTAATAGGATAAAATTTGATTACCGATTTGAACTTTAAAATTCTCTGATCACAGTAATTCGAAAACACTAGAAAATCAATTAAAAAAGCATTCCTAATTAATATTCTAATATTAATTTTTATTTATTCTTTGATTTATACTTATAAAATTTTTGGCCATTCTTCATTAATAATACATTTTAATTCTGTAATTATCTAAAAAACTGTTGATGGGATTAAAAGTGAATCTTTTTGCAAAGCATATTATAATTTTGGTAAAACGTAAAATTTGTTTAAAATAATAATTTATCATTATTTCATTTGGTTAATTATTATTTTTTTAATTTTTTAGCGCATTTGTACGAGTTGGCAATGGATTCGATTTACAAATATTTAAAACTCACTGGACTTAGTGTACATATAAAAATATTTTAAGATTTCGATTAACCAGTAATTTTTTTTAATATTGTTTGCAATGTCACAAGATGATCTACCACCCACGTGCACAAATATGAGATCAGCTAAAGCATAAATTACGTTCTTGACATCTATGCCCCTAACAACATCAAAAAGGTAACTCTAAAACTCGCTCCGCTTTTTGTTTTGTCTCTCATACGCTAGTAACTTATCATGGAAAAACATACGGGTTTTATTCCTTCTGCTGTCGAGCATCCTACGCAAAATTACAAAGCATCGCTTTTTTTTTTTTTAATGAAATGACTGTCGTCCCGACAGGCCATACCTTGTAAGTAATAAAATAACCTATACTAGGTTGATAAGATCAATAAAAGAAAACTCTTTCAATGACTGTCGTCACGACAGGTCATTCATAAAACTAAATAATACGAATCATTACTTATCCAGTAGTCATGGGTAGGGCGGGGGGGATCGACAAAACCAGACTAAAAGTCGGGTTCGCAAAAGAAATAGAGTTACCTCGATTTCTATTCAATACAAAATACTTAAATACTCAAAATACTCAAAACAAATAAACTCACAAGACGTCATTATTACTGATGAACATACTAATCACACTAATCGTAACAATTACCTCATAAAATCACAAAGTCAATTTCGTTACTGAAATGATCGTCATACTAAATCACGTTACTACAAGACTACCCCAGCGTACCCAGTAAAAAAAATGCGATCACATGACTAATCGACAAAAATTGACCAATAAAATTACAATACTAATTGAAAATCGAATACTATATATCTTTAAAGTTAACCTAGCATTTAATACACCAGACTTTTTCAACCTATTTGGAATTCTCGTTAACCCAATGCCAATAAATTTATATATTTATAAGCTATTATATAATTTTTTTTTTTTTTTAAATATTAAGGTAAGTATTTGCAACTCAGGATTTTATTGATAGTATATTTGGTTAATGGTTGCATTACAACCATAGAAGGCAACTATAAAGAGAGTATACAACTAGTTACTTGTACAACTTTAGTCATTGTCTAATTTAAGTAATCCGTTCAAAGGTTCTACACTAGTTGTCATACCTGGAACTTACTTGTAGATTCCTTATTTAATCATTCTGTTTTCATATCCACCTATCTATCTTTGCCTATCAACAATCCTAACCAATACTAATAAAAATATGTTATGATTACTAAGTCTTTAAAGTAGTTTACTTATATAGGGAACTTTTGATCTTATACTAAACCTTTTAGAATCTTCTGTATTCTATTCTTATAGTTGACCTGGTATCGTTATAACTGAGACCAATACTAGTGATCAGGACATATTATTAAATTATTATGTTCTTGTAAAGTTTATCCTAATCTTGATACTAACTTTACAATATATCCTTACTACTTTGGTATTCAATTCAAGTTCCATCAAGCTGTCATTTCAGATAGCCTAAAAAAATAAGACAAAATCGTATCTCTGATTTACATGTTTGTTAGCATATATTCTTTTTTTCTAAAACTCAGAAATTCTGCTAGCCTGGTTGGTTTATTTAGTTTCTCCTCAAAGACCAGCACATTTACAAGTTCTAGTTTCATTTTATAAGTCTAGTTTTTATAGTAGCATCATCGAAGATTCAGGTTATTTCTCTACTTGGGTTTTCTAAGTGGACTTCTGTCTTCTTATCTGGTTTCTATAATTTACACAACCTAAGAACTTATTTTGGATTCATACTACTTGATACTGGTTTGTGTTTCTTTGTACAACATTATATGAGTGTTTAGACCTTTCAGTTATGCTAATATAACACAGGTTACAGATATTCTATCCCAACCAATCATGGAAGACAGTTAGCCATAATACAGAAATAATTACAAATTTTTACTGTTACTGAGATTTGAACTCTAGACCTGCTACTTGGAAGTTAACAATCTATCCACTTTACTAGGTTGTCACACTTTCACTATTATATAATCTTAAGCACAATTTATAATTATATTTATTTAGATAAATAAAAGTGTATTTGTTTAGTAAATATACTACAGAATATTATGTGTATACAATCAATATAATCATAATGTTTGTACTAAATAACTAAAAAAAAAAAAAAACATATTTAAATATAAAAAAAAAAACTTAACCATCAAATTATATAGAATAAACTCAATCCAAATACATTTAACTTTTAGATATTCTATTTATAATAATATAATTAGCAGATTACTAGTTTTCATCATTACTACTAAATTGTGTTATTTAAAAAGTATTATTTAAAATTTTTTAATCACTATTTAATAGTAAAATAGGAGGATTAAAAAATATAATTTACCTAATAATTGATGCTATCATTACTATATTAACAAAAAAAAATTAATATTTTTTATTAATTAAAATTAAAAAAAAGAGTATTGCTAACTTTTATCTGAGGTGACATCATTCAGGTGAAATTACCTATTACTATATAATTTTACCTAACCAAATTTTATAATTAAATATTATAAAAAATAATATATATTGCTTATTTTTCACTTAATAAGATAATAGTGATTTCATTACCATATAACTGTGAAATAATGCGCAAGTGTATTTTTGAATTTCTGCCTGAATTAGACTTAATTCGGGTCGAAAATTGAAATAATACCCTAGTGAGTTATATAGTAGAACATTTTGGTAATTAGCTACCCAAAAAAATTTCATTGGTCAATCGAATTTCAAAAATCACCTATAATAATAACTCAAAAATTAGTTTATAAAAAAGCCTTCTAAGTATTAGTAAAAAATTTTTCTTGCAAAATTTTGCTATATAAAACAGCTCTAAACTCAACCTATAAACAATACCTTAACCTTAACCAAACAAACCAAAATTTTATTTCGAAATATAGTTTGAAATTTTTTTAAGTGATGATTCTACTTTAATTATTAAATATCTGCTATGACAATTGATGTAGTAGCTAGATTTAGTATAGATTTTATTACTGTATAACTTTTTAACAACTTATACAAATAAGATTCCAAAATTCTGAATTGGAATGTATCAGAATCCTGGTCAAATTGATCAATTTGCTTAAGATTACTAAAAATTTACAAATGAAATCATAGTTATTCATTAAGTAAAAAGTGCCTAGCTGATATTTTTTCTATAAATATTGCTAACTCTAATTTCGATGCATCCAACCTGGAATTTCTAAAGTACTTCTGTAAAGATTAAAACCTATTAGTCAAAAATCAAAATCAATACAAAATAAAATTCAAATTTTCAGAGTCCTACAAAAACTTTTTTCATGCAATTCTATTACTCTATTGTCTTTCTTAGATTCACTTCACTTTGTTAATAATTACTTCACTGACTTTATTAATTCTAAACAATGCTAACTTTAAATTAAGCTATTTTTAACTATAAACCTAGTTAAAAAATGAGATCTATCAATTTTTTCAAGCTCTAGCATAACTCTAACCTAATATAAATAGTGTTTTTAGTTTCTCTGACAGCTTAATCACAATTTGTGTTTTATTAATACAATTTTAAATATTAAAAAAATAAAAATAGAAGACAATTTACAAATAACTTAGCTGTTTCTTGTATATTTCATCCTCAAGCCATTTATAATACCAGTTGGATAGATTATAATTCAGAATATTAGTATTCGATAATGTGTAAATACATACCATTTCATATTTAGAAATGTACTAAAGCAAAAGCAGATTATTATGAAACTAATATTAAACAAACAATACAATATAAGCAACTAACATATAATACTAACTATATTAGTGCATCTCTATGGTATATATCTTCACATTTTCTTTGTAAATCTTTCTATTAAATAATATTATAGTTTAGGCATTTTAGTTTCTATATTTGTAATGTGATTGTATAATGTTTATGATGTTAAATGTGTAGTGTTATTGTGAACGTAGTATTAGCATATGCGTATGTGTAGTGTTATCATATATGTAGTGTTATCGTGTATATAGTATTATTATATGCATAGTGTTATTGGCAGGTCTCTGAGCTGTGCAATTGCATTTTCTATTTTCAGACGAACCCAAAATAAGAGGTGCAAAAATTAATAAAAAATGCAAAAACTTGAAATAATAAAAATTATAAAGAAAATCATATGTAAGTTGTAAATAAAAATAAATAAAAACTGAAATAAATAATTAAAGCAAAATAGAAAACTTAATAATAAAAGATTTTAAACTGTTTGTGCATTATGTTCACAAAAGATATAAAAACTATCAATAGGTTAAATCATTTAAATGTTATTTGATAAAACATATAAAAAGACATTAATTTACCTTTGTAACAAAATAAAAAAAAACCAATCCATTTTCTAAATAAATTGTCAATAGTCTTCTGTGCACAACACAATTCATGCCTCTAAAATAGCCTTTTAAAAGATATTTGAAGAGTTAATATTACTAGAGTTATCTTATAACCTCTGTTATTGTTTTGTGCTAACTACTTACTTTTATCAAATTACTGTTATTCATCTTACAATAGAGGAAGATTATTAGGACATTTATGAATACAACAGAGAATATTTTGATTACAATTCTGAAATGGATAATGAAGCTTCATATACAAATATTAAAATATACAACAAGGCTCTGATTAAAGAGATAGAAACAATTGATGAAGCTCAGCTGGCAGATGTGAATAAAGAAATGTGTAATAATGATAATAAAGACAAAGAACAGAAAAAAATATTAATATTAAATGTAGGCATGCAGTTTGATATATGGAAAATAGCTAAAAAATATCTTGATAACTATGCCAAACAATAAGGATTCTGCTTATATAAGAGAAGGCATATGTTAAATACAAAAGATAATACTATTATAAGACACAAAGCATTTAAATGCTCTTATATCAGTGAATATAAAACTCAAAAAGTAATTTTGGAGGAGAATAGAAGAAATCAAGATTCGAATATGGTTGGGTGTTCTTGATATATTAATCTTACTTTTTCTAAATTAGCTAATAGAGTTTAAATTAACAGCATAATCAGTGAATATAATCATAAAATAAATTCTATAATAGCTGAAACAGCCTCAAAGTTCTGAAAACTAACAGAAGAAATGTTAGAAAAAGTTAAATTCTGAACAATTTACAGAAAAATAGATGTAAAGACCTAATATAATTTATTAGCTGCTTCATTTCCACATAAAGTAATAAATAAAAAAAACTTGAGTAATGCTATACAATGATTTAAAAAACAGATTAAACTAGATAAAAATGATGCATATAATATGCTTACTAAGTTATATATAAAAAAGGAAAATAATCTAAGGTGAATTGTGAAGCCTTGTTTCGAATCTGAAGAAAGAAGGCTAAATTCATTGTTCTGAATGTCGCCTGATCAAATTAATGCTTATGAAAAATTTTGAGATGTTGTAATTGTTGATACAATATCTAAAACCAACCAATTTGATATGATCTTAATGTTGATAATTGTTGTTAACAATAATTTTCAGAATTTAATCATAGCTTCAGCACTTTTAGAAGATGAAACAAAGGCAACATTCATATGGGTTCTTTAAGAATTAAAATATTCTTGTGATGTTACACTGATAGTCTTATATTCTGATGCTGATTCAGCATTAATATTATCTGTACAAAACACTTACTTGGAAACACAACACCTTCATTGTATTTTTTATATAAATTTAAATTTAAGAAAAAAACTTAAAGAAAAATTGTGTGATCAATTTGAGTTATTTCGATTAAAATTTTTTGCAATGCACAATTCTCTGTGCTATAATAAATTTGATACTGAATAGAATTCTCTTATTAATGAATATCTGAATTGTAAGAACTATCTTACTAAAGCCTTATATTCTTGCAAAAGTAGTTGGGCTTGTTATGCTATTAATCAGAATTTCACAGCCAGGATTCAGAGTATATAATAGGCAGAAGTATGTAATAAAGTAATTAAGGATAGATTAACCAGATCTTCATATTTAGATGAAGTAGTTGATAAAATCCAAAAAATATTTAATGATCAATCAAAGAAAGCAATTATAAATGAATTCAAAAATGAAATTTTGACAAGAAAAATGCCAAATATAACTAATGAATATTTTTCTGGACTTGACAAAGTTTTACAAAAATACTTAACATCACAAATTCTTTAAAAACAATGTGATCAAATGGTGCAATCATTATGTTATGATGTATTTTCAATTAATGATTGGCAATTACTTCTGGAGGTAAGATCTATTAAATATTAGTTGAAAGAATATTATGCTATATCAAAAAAAAGTAATTACTAATATATTGACACTTGCCTCTGGTTTAGATGATAGATGATTTTTATCAAAAGAATATAGCAAAAGAAGATGATTATAATCAACTGCAATTCCTTTTTTCATCATTGCTAGAAAATGTACCTCATGATTTGGTTCAAGAAGTGTAAAAAATAGTTAGGCATAGTAGACAAAATTTAGAATCACAGCTGATAATTCTCTTCAATAACAGCTCACATTTGTGTACTTGCCTTACACTAATTAACAGAGAAATTGTGTGTCAGCACTTTTTTAGAGTTATCTTTTATTCAACTAAAGCACAGTTTCATATTTTCTTAATTCCTCAGAGATGGTATAATAGCAGCAAATATAATGTTACTCAAGAAAATATGCCTATATACCATTTCACAAGAAATGAATCAGAACTCACCCTACCTAAACCTTTATCATTTTGATATTTGACAAGGTTTAGACAAATGCCTAACATTAAGCAACCACAAGAACCTAAACAAAAATACGAACTTAATATGAGTTATGCAAAGAAAGCTCTTGATCTTGCAATTCAGATTAACAAAGTAAAAGAATTTGTTAGTTATTTAAAGAATTTCATTGAAGAAGCCAAAAATGATTTATTAAGTACACAAAATGATACTGAATTCATACTTATTGGAGATCTGTTGCACATTCCACATAAAGGTTGACAGTCCAATAAATATAAATCTAGTGGTGAGCCTTCAAAAAAGATATAATGTAAAGTTTTAACTAATAAAGACAGCGAATAAATTCAGCAATACATTCAGAATACAACAGAAATGTCAAGTAATAGTCAAGTTAGTATACTGCATGATTCAGAAAAAAAGGTAAGATGATGTCAGAAATGTAAACAAGTTGGTTATTATGCTCCATGATGTCCAAACATTGGTTAATACTGTATGTAGTAAAAATATCAATATTACTGTATTAAGTAAATAGAAAATAAATAAACTATTAGTCTGTATTGGTATTGCATAAATAGAAAATAAATAAATTATATATAAATAGAAAATAAAAAATTATTTAGTTATGCATAACTGATATACATATAATATACATATATAGGTGATTTCACCTCAGATGAAAATTAGTTAACCTTAAAAAAATATATACAGTATATATGTATTGTAATATTGCATACCTTAACTAATTTAAAAAATAGATATTGTATATGTGCTCTTTTCAAGTCTTTGGTATAGTTATTCTTTTACAATAAGTTTCAATTTGTTTTACTATTGTATTAATTAACTGAAAGTTTTTTTCTATACTTTTACCCTATTTAAGATTTTTTGTATCTTTGTGTTCATGTAATAGATCAAGTGTTTTTTGAGTTATCTTAATTAATCGATTAAAAAAAATATCCGAATCTTCAACTTGATTATTATTTATATTAATTGTATTAAAATTTTGAACCTTTGTTTTAATTAAAAGAGATTCATTATTATTTTTAACCTGATTGTCACTATTTATGTTAACTATTAAAGAAGTCAAACTAGTATTAATTAAAAATAGATGTTGATTGTTTCACTTAATCTGGTCAAAGAATTGTAATAATACAACTTCCTTTTTTTGGACAAGATATTTACAAATAAAGAACCAATTTGTAAGATAATATAAACAGCTACAGGTTCACTGTTCCATATTAGTATTATAAAGTTTATTATTGTTTTTTTTAACAATCCTGTTGTCAATCATTTCTATTCTGATTTCATTAATTTTTGTCAATTTGCTCTTATTCATCCAAATATTATTTAATCAAATTTATATCTTTGATAAAAAATTACTTTTTTCATAAGAATATAGGTAACTAGATCAAGTCTTAGACAAAAAAATTTATATAAAAAATCTCATTTGATTATTTTCCAATGTGATTCTATAAACATCATTGTTTTTAATATTGAAATCTTATTTTTACAACCTGCTTTCATTCATAAGACTCATCAATCTGTACAATACCACTTTTTCTATAAATAAATCTAAAGAAAGAACAAAAAATTATTTTTATACAAAAAATAGATTTCTTTTACCACTTGTTCCCAAATTTGTAAACATGTTAATGCCAGATTAGATGTTAATATTAATGGATGAAGATGTAAATGTCTATCTATTAATTTCCAAACTGATGTATGTAATTCTTTAAAACAAAACATCATGCCTTTTTGAACTGAAAGTTGTAAAATAAAATCTTTGTTAATAAATAAAAAATACTTATAACTATTACTATGCTTATAAGTAACTTTTTGTGAAAATTTATTTGAAATTAATCAGATATAAATTGCTTTTTTCACATGCCAATAACATAATTAAATTTTAGCATTTGGCTAGGTAAAATATATTTTAGAAATCTGAGCAATATCTTTATCACTTAATACGAACTCAGATATAAGTCCTTGTAACTTTATCTCATTAAAAAAATTTAGCAGTATATTAGTTTATACTCTATTTTCCGATTTACTATTACTTTCTAAAAACAGATATGCAAGTGGATATCCTGAATCATTTACTTCTGCATGCAGTATATACAATTCTAACCCTAAATTGTTTATATTATTTATATATATATAAAAATATATTAATATATATATATCCTAATTGCAAGTAAAAAGTACATATAAATAAATAATAAAATAAATTATAAATATATGTCACATCAATTTTGCATTCATGTACATTAATGTTTAATTGTTTTAAGTAATCAAAAAAATCTGTTAAAAATCTAATTGTTTTAACCAACATTGTTGTATTTATAATAAGTTTATAATTTTTTTCTTCAATCCATATCAAAGCAGATTTAAAAGTATCTTGATATCTAACATATCTACTACTTCTAAAAACTGTCTACCAATAGTAGACTTGTTTTTATATAATCAATGTATTCATACTCTTATTAATTAGATTTATATAAATATCTTATAATAATAAATTAATATTATTTTTAATATATTGTTTAATATTATTTAGAACTTCTACATTATTTGGCTTTGGATGCAACATATTATATTCAACTACAATATTGGCAACCTGAAACATTAAGTTAATGTTTACTTTAATATAACTATTACAATCATATCATTCCATTAAGATGATATTTCTTTGTTTTTCTGGATTATTATGCTTATGAGGTTTTTTTATTATATTTATTCATTGAGAACAAAAATGTAATTTGTTTGCCATCATATTTATTATTATATCTACAATAGTAATAAAATAATATTATATATTAAAAAATATATATATAATAATTTATTTTAAAATAATAAATTACTGTAATAAGTACATCTATGAGTATTCATCAACATCACTAACAATATTTATTAAATGATCAGCAATTTCTTTTGAAGATTCATAAATGAAAAAATATCCACAACACATACAAAATAAATGCCCAATTAATTATTTTCTTTGTTATTTTCTGCAGTTATTAAATTTGTATGCAATTCAAGAAGATTGTAAACATAATATGCAAGATTATTTGGTTCCAATATTTCATTTGGTATTTCATTATCATTGTTTAATAATTTCTTATTTTCTCTATATCTTTTTGCTTGAGTTTGACATATATTACAGGCACCAGATTTTTGGTTAGGTTTGGGATTTGCGAACTTCAATTTAGCTTTATAGATATTACATCTAGAATAGAAACTTTGATCATTGATGCTGTTTATTATGTTTTTAAATAAATAAACCTGTCAATATTAAAATTAGTTTATTGAAAATCACTTAAAACTTGTTTTTTTTTACTTACATGTTAATTATTTTTTTAAAGTTATTTTTTATATTCAACTTTTTCTAGTATTAACTTCTACACACGGCAATTCCCTACACAACACTTTGCATGGCAACTCTACACACAACACTTTACATGACAACACACCACAATATTAGCTTTTTTCCTTTATGTACAACACCTTATGCGACAATACAACAATATTATAATAGTATTAATTATACGTTTGCTCAAGAAAATGAAGTTCGATCATTTACTTGATTGAACCTCTATTTATTGGGTTATGCAACCTATATTACATCATCGTCTGCAATAGACTCAAAATTACTATGAAACGATAAGTAACTATATTAATTAGTATTGTAATTTTATTGGTCAATTTTTGTCGATTAGTCATGTGATCGCATTATTTTTACTGGGTACGCTGGGGTAGTTCACTTGAATAGGGGTCGTTTAAAGCCTGGTACCTTACGAAATTTCCCGATATGTTTCCCGCATTATTCCGAACAATCCGACAAAGCCAAAAACACGAAAATATAAAAAATGGCTATCTAAACTGGTCTTGATGCACTAAGTAAAAGTGTCGGAAATACCTTCTAGCCTATGTATAACCCTAACCCTTAATATTAATTAAAAGTCGGAAAACCGGAAGGTGCCAGGCTTTAAACGTCCCCCTTGAATAGTAATTTGGATAATCGGTAGATCTATGACTTATAATGATGTAATGTTTATCTAAATCAATAAAAAGAAAATCGAATTATTAATCTCATTATCTTCTTCTTTTTCTCGTCTTTTTACTTCTTCCTTTTATTTTCGTTTTTTTTACTTCGCTTCCTTTTACGGGTTTTTTTTTATCTTCGCTTTTTACATTTGTTTATTTTTTTTACTACTGCTATTATAAACATTCCTGAAGGGACTTATGTGGGTGATCATCAACGACCCATGGGGGGGTAAAACTCCTAGTAGAGGTCTCATCTAGTGACACGGCTGGTCAATGCTTGTCAAATCAGTCGAAACATAAAGTTTATTTTCCATATGTTGAAACTGGTTTTAATCGGTTTTACCATATGGGAAATAAAATACTTTCCACGTTGCTTCCGTATTGGTTTCTTCAGTTTTTGACTTCTATTCTAAAAACCTTTTGGATCACCTGAGTATCGGCGTCCACGTCGCGTGATCCGGATAACCAACCGACGGATACTCGTTTGTTTTTATTGTTGTTTAGTTATGTTATTTAAATTATTATGTTATTTATGCTGTTTGTAATATATTGTAAGATTTAAATAAATAAACTTGGTTTAATATTGTTGTAGTATACTAAAAGTTGAATACTTTTTTTTTGATGAGAGTTTTTGAGTTTGATGTAAATCGAATAAAAGCCTCATAAACATAGTAACGGCCCAAAAAAAAAAAGATTTTATATATAATATAGCGTGAGTTTAAATTTATACTGATTAAAAAATGTAATGTACGCAAATTAAACAGCCAGCCGTTTTATTATTTTCTTTGTAACATGACTTCATCATTTCTTTCATCGCTAAAATATGTAGCACTTAAATTCGTATTATTGAATATCTCTACATCATAATTTGTAAAAGAAAGTAATGTATTACCAATTAACAAAAGAAAAAAAGGCTACGTCCGTATACGTATACGTAGTAAAAATTATTGAATTTTTAGTACCGGACATATGCAATAGTAATTTACTTAGCATGTATACATTTCAAAGTGCACTTAAAATTAATTGTACGGAATTAAGTTTGGTGAGTAATAAATAAGTCTTTTTTTGTAAATACTTGATTAATTTTAATTTAAAGATCAACTAATTGCAAAATTTGGAAAAGAATTTGCATTAAATGCGATCAAGAATAAGAATTGTTTACTATAATAAAGGTTTATGTATTCTGTTTTCGTTAGCTTATACAAAAGCTCATGTTCAGTACAGCAGATCCTTATTTGGTGAATAGTTATCTTGAGAAGATCGTCAAATCATATAATGTAAACTGGAAATTGGATCCAAGTGTGGAAGATTCATTGTTAGAAGTCTTTATCCATTTCTTTATCACATAAATTACATCTTATGATGACTTTGACTTATCATGAAAGAATTTTTTTGATAGATGGACTTTTTAAATACAAGAAATAAACGGAACTTACAATATTACCAGACATGGAACTATTTTTATCTTTGAATAATGACAAAGGAGGAAATAGTCAGTTGGTAAGAGGCCCCGAGGAAGAAATGTCCAACTATACATCTCGAAATCTAAAATGATAATTGATTGCTTATTCATTCACCACTTTCGAGTCTTCAACAACTTTGTTCGATTCTGATTGTCTTGTTCTAGCCCTCAACCACCTGACAACAAAAAGACTGATAAACTTGGTAGGCCGCCATCACCGTTATTACAACAAGACCTCTCTCAAAATAATTATGTTACACCACCACCACCATATTCAGCTAGTAATAACAACGCCAAAACAACTACGGAAAACTCTTTACCAGAATCTACAACTAAATCTACGGACGGCTTACCAGATTTTGATGAATTGGAAAGAAGGTTTGAGGCTTTGAAAAGAAAATAAATGGGAGGTTTTTTTTTAATGACAATAATTATTATAATTAGATAATTTCTATTTGTTCCATTATTATTACATAAAATATTTTTTCTACAAAATTTACAAAACAATAATAACATTTCACTAAATAAGATTGTAAATAAATGAAGTTTTGTGTATACAAATTTATATGAAGAAATATCAAGCGACTTCTAAAATAGCTTTTGATTTTTTAGACTCTTTCTGTACAATTTTTGATTTAACTTCTTGTTGTGGTGTCGATTCGTCTAGAAAATGAATAATAATTAGTTATTGTAAATAATATAATAATATTGTATTAATAATCCAATTTAAGAAAATAAATTACTTTCTACGTCCGCAATCTTAAGTTGAGTCTTAGGAATTTCGGGAAATTGTTCTTCAAGCTAAGATTTTGAGAAAAATAATGTATACATTAATCTCTCATTTATATTAATTATGAATTATGAATATAATTAAAAATTGTCATACTTGTTCCTCTTCAATCTGTCTCAACTCCTCTAATATTTCATCTTCATCTTCACTTGTTATCTTTCCACTTAGCAATTCTTCAATTTCCTATATAGATTAACAAATAAAAATTATTTAGGATATCTAATGCAATAATTGCAATAATAGGAATAATAGAATGAAATAATAAGTTACATTTTGATAAGAAATAGCATCAGCAGTATCTTCCATCAACTTTTCCACTTTTTCAATTGACATTTCTTTATGAATTTCCTTTAAAATGTTGTTCCCTAATTCTAGACCGCTTAATACATCCTTTTCAACCAACGCGAATTCTATTGATTGAGTCTTTTTTATACGATTAAGAAACAGATTAATCCGAAAAAAAAGTTTAATAAAATGTCTGATTTTGGACTCATTTTTCGGAAAAGTTTGCGACTGGAGAATACCAACCAATTCCTCGAGATTCAATAATTGTGAATCTGTTTTTTTTAACAATTGTTCCTGATATTTTTTCTTTTTTAAAGCTAAAAGGGCACCACGTTTGTTTCCAATGCGCAAGGCTTTTTTTGCTATTTCCGTTTCTTTTTCAGAAACACTTATAAGCTTTAGAATGAATTTGAAAATGTAATATTTAATTAGAAGAAAAAGGTGAATTCCGATTGCTCTATGAAACTTAAAAAAAAGTTACTTTTTTTTGATATTGTATAAGTTTGTCACGCTGAATTTTTAAGTCGAGAATTGCACGATCTTGTGAAGTTATTTTACTATTCTTAGTACCCATTTTGACAAACAAACAAATCAAGATTATTAAGATTATTAGTGAAAAATGTCGATGCAGTCTACGTATACGTACGTACGTACGTACACTCTTTTACAATCTCAGTGCCAAATAGGGATTGTTAAGTGGTTCGAATTTCGACCAGAATTAAGCTTAATTCGGGCCAAAATTCGAAATAGGGCCATGCTCGCTAAGTTCATTGAATTTCGTAAGCTATACAAGTAATTCTATTGGCTGACCATCACATGTTAGTGCATATGACAAATCATATGACCAACTAATCATGAGATATATATATATACATATCTGTAGGAATACAGTTTAAACCAACAAACTTTACAGCTTTAATATAATGCATCAAGAGTTGTCGCCACAGATTGATTTTTCTTCAGTCTTCAATCTTTCCAATGAAACTCCTGAAGAGAAAGATATGAAGCGGCAATCTGTAATCGTGAATCTTTTCAGTGGCAGGAAGCCAGTATGTCTACATTTTCCGACTACTGCTTGCACTAAAATCTTTGATTTGAAGCAAATCATCTTTAATCGCATGTTGATTGATCCTGAAGAACAACAATTTTACACATTGGCTGGAAAATGGTTAAATGATTCTGTTCAAGTTTTTGAATCTGACGATGTCGAGTTCATGACTTTAAATCTTAAACTTCGATTGTCCGGTGGTAAAGGTGGGTTTGGGTCGATGCTTAGGGCACAAGGTGGTAAAATGGCCAGTCAGAAGACAACTAATTTTGAGGCATGTCGTGATTTAAACGGCAGAAGACTAAGAACTGTCAACGAGGCAAAGAGGTATATATATATATATATTCTTTTAGTTAAAGAAAAAAATAAATAAATAAATAAAATAAATTTCGAATAATTAAATATTAACTATATTTAACAATAATTATAGATTGGCTGACCATCTTGAACAAGAACCAGAGAGACGACGCGTTCGCAAAGAAAGAGTACTAAAAAAAATTGAAGAGGGAATGGCTGAACATCCAACAAAAAAAATACGCTTTGATGATACTGAATATCTTAAAGCCAGTGAAGAAATGAAAGAGAAAATACATGTTGCAGTATTTGAAGGTAAAATTTGATTTTAATTAATTATAAACCATTGAACCTTTTTGATCTATGTTAATCCTTTTTTTTTTTTTTTTTTATCTAGCTATGTCGAAAAAGTCAAATTCTACTGTTAGTAGTAGTTCTACTACTAATAATTCAAAAGCACTCTCATTATGGTAAATATTTTAAATGTTTGATATTTTTTATTATTCGTGAAATGTAAAATTGACATAAATCTTTTGGTACTTTAGGGATGTCGTTGAAAGCGGTTCTGATAGTAGCGAAGATGATGCATCGGATACTGATAGTGGCGATTAAATCTTTTATCCAAATGGACATTTGTTTTATATTTCTTATAAATAGACTCTTTTTTAGTTATTCGATTTAGTCCGGATTTATAAATTTTATTAGTTTATTGTGAATTTTGATTTAATAAACAAAATGCATCTACAAATCGTTGCTGATATAGCTTAAGCAATCGATTGAAAAGAGGTATAGAGTTTTTTTGAACGTTCTATTTGTAATAATTATGACAATATTTCATAATGTCCTTTCTTATTGTCATCTAGACCATCTAGATCATGTAAGATTAATTAATTGATTTTCATGACCCAGCCGGTCAAAGTTCGAAAACTTGTATGTTTACAGCTGTTTTCATAAATTCTGAAAAATCTAGCGGAAATTGACTGATCGAATCAGCAAATTTCAGTCGGTCAATTTTCCGGAATTATGAAAACAGCTGTAATAACCGAGCCAGATTTTCCGGAATCATGAAAACAGCTGTAATAACCGAGTGGTCTTTTTTAAAAAAAATTTTTATATACAGTCAGATCTCTCTATAGTCACATTTGCTTATAATCATAAATTTTTAAAACCATTTGTATAACAACTTATAAAATTTAACCTCTATATAAGCACAACCTCTATAAGCACCAAATTCTTAATATGAAAATTTTTTAAAAACCGTTGGCCAGCTGGGTCAGTTTAAAATTTTCATGTTATGAAAACCAAGAGATTAATCATAGGATGTGCTGATATTTATATATATTAGACATGCTGCATCTGAACCTAATTGGAATGGTACATATGACTGTATTATATGCATCAATTTTTATATACGTATTATAAATTTTATAATAAATTACTTTTGTACCTTAAGTGAAAAATGATCCTAATTTTATTCTAAATTGACTTATGTAAAAAACTCTTGAAAAAATGGACCTTTTTAAGCACCTTAAATGACATATTATTCTGATTATTATTACGTGAGTTAATAAAAAATTGGATAGACAAATTTTAAAGATGTGTAACATGAAAGTAATAAGATTAAGTTTTAACCGACTTTTTATTCTCATGTTATACCTAAACTAGCTAATTTTATGAGCTGCATCGTTTGCCAAATGATGCAAATTGGTTTTCACGTTCTATAACAAAAAATTACGTCGTATGTACGTATCGGTATAAAATTCTTGGTAATTAATAATTGTAATCGACTTGGCTAACAGATAAAATCGATTTAGTCGAACTCAGTCAGTCGATTTTTTTAAAAAAAATTGGTATAATCGATCCTTGGCTATGGATTTAAGAGAATTAGACAACCAGAAAACTTTGCAATAGTGAGTAACAGGAAAATTCGAGAGATATATATAAATTTTTACGAACTATCGCTATGGGTAACTAAGCAAATTTTCGATTTTCGGTTTAGTCTGGTCGACAAATTTAGGTCGACCAGTTTATTTAAGGATTGGGAATTGACCGATTAATAGATTATGATTAATAATGAGCACGTTGTGCTGCACCAGAACACCAAAACATGTTTTTAATGAACTTTTGATTTTAGGTAGTCGCAGCAATAAAGGATTGATACAAATAATTGGGATAACTCTGTCAGCTTTATCGTGTGAAGTTATTTGTGATATCTTGATACGCCACCTAGCGATAGTTGGAAGTTCATTTATTGACCGATCGCCACGTGATCATACATTGAGATCATACATAATTATTACCGTTACAGAATTAATAAATTTCAATGAGTCAATCCTAACGCCAATACTATATTACGATAGAGAATAATTAGTAGAGATAGGCTTACATGTAGCCTAAGCTTTTTTAATGCGTGTAGAAAGATGCCCACTTTTCGCTCTATTAAATTGTGTCACTGTTTTCCAAGTTCAAAAACTGTCCTTGACCTTTAATAAAGTTCTGACGTAATTCGTGGGCGCAAAACTCAAATCGACTACATAGGTTACTTGTTTGGTATTATATTTACATATAAACGATAAGTAATTTTATAGAAATCAAATGTCACGTGCATGCCCGCCTATTATTTGCAAGGGTTCTCGGCAAGGTAAATCATATTATGAATTAGCTTTATAAAGCAAATAATCAAAAATAGAATTTAGGAATCCTTCATTGTTACTGTGTTATCGAGAATAGGTCTATAAAGAAGCGTATAAATAGCATACGATGAAAATGTGTAAGGATCAACTAATTGTTCGTGTAACATCACATTGTGTGCAACGTTAACTATCTTAATAATTTTGAACACTAAAAAATTACAAAGTTACGTATAATTAAAGACTTTATTTCCCGCTTCTATGTATGAGAGGTGATATATTATTCATTTATTGGTTATATGTCACTATGGTGCTCTTTTAAACGAAAATCTTCTTTATATTCAATTCATTCCCATTATCGTTATGTTATTTCATTTATATTATTCACTTTAACTTTGATAACGAAAAAAAAAAAACTACTTTGCTCAGTCCTTATCGTACTCCCTCATCCCCTAATTTATTGATTTCAAACCCTATTACTGTATTTAAAATTCTTTTTTAACTTAATTTTTGACGTCCATTTTCCTTTGTTAATCTTATTTCTCAAAAAACATGTCTCAAGTTGATACTTCACCTGTGCATAGTGCCGTCCCTCTACCTCCCATTCAACCTCCGGATCCTACTTTCCCTACAAAGCTTATGCTTGAGCTTCGTGGCACTCGTTTTGAAATCGATCGTGAGCTATTAATGAGTTTGCCGGAAAGCATCCTTATTGTTATGTTTCCAAATGGTCTTATATTAGGTAGAGCTCTTGAATACGAAGACGAAGAAGAACCAGAAGACGCAAATTCGGACGATGCCTTGGAATTAGACGACCAAATCATTTTCGTGGACTTCGATCCCCTTTGCTTGGAATATATCCTTAATTTTTACAAAACCGCACAAGATGCTTTTTATTCCAACCAAGAAAGTTCTTCCGCTTTTCCTCATATTCCAACTCCAAATCCTCTTTTAAATAAGCAAGCTATTATTGTTTTGAGGGAAGAGTTGGACTATTTTACTATACCTCCAAAATCTAAAAAAAAGCTCCCTTCTTCTTCCTCTTCTCCTTTGGAAACTGACAAAGATGCTGTCGAAATGTCTACTGTTGAACCTACAATTAATATATATGAATTGAAAACTGAATGTGGAACTTATCTTCTCCATCAGAGAAAGATATTTACTGCTTTACAACGTAATGTTAATAAAGAAAATAACGTAGCTGAACAACATTTGATAGATATGTTATGTGTTTCCGGTTTTTCAAGAGATGATGAATGGGGCTACCGTAATATTGAACCTCATAAGACAAGTATTGTAAGCATCGCTCTTGTAATATTAAAGACAACTGGTCAGAATCAAATGGCTACTGCTCAAAAATTGTTGTTGTTTTGGAGGAAACCGGCGGTACGTATTTTTTTATTAGATGTTTGCTTAAATTCTTATATCCTAAAAATTGGTATTATATTAATAATTTTTAATAAATCTTTTAATTTAATATTATGTAGAGAAAGTGTTGGTGGGATGGCTTAGAAGTTACAGTCGGTGAGGATAAAGCCATACCGGTTCGACTATGGTGCAGGCGCACATGGACTTTGGAGTTAGCTTTGGTTTAAATATACTTACTTATTCAACAAAATATATATATATATATATAAAATAAAAAATAAAATACTTGGGGCGTTCAAAAGGTTTGATACTGCGCCATTATTTTAATGATTATCTGTTCTAATTAAATTCGGAAATAAGTTTTAAAAGCTTATGTAATACTATTGTATTAATAATAGGAAATTTAGCAATATTTAAATTTAAAATTTTGTATTGTATTTTTTTGAATTTTATCTTTTTAATTATGATAGAGAATTCTAAGTGCGAAGATCAACATTACTATATTTGGGTTTGTCGAAGAAATATAATAAAAGATACTAATTAATTTAGTAAGTAGGGTGAGTTTAAGATTACACAAATAAAATAATTTGGTTTTCATATCCGCTGGGTCAGAAAATTGAAATTTTAAAAAGTTTTTTTTTTTATGCCATTATTATATATCGTATATATATTATTATCATATTTAATTCGAAAGCTTGCATTTTACTGTTTTTTATTGGTTGGTAAATTGGGTTATGTACATACTATGTAATTGTTTTTGTGTATTTACGAAGCATTGACTAGATGTCTGAGTTTATTAAATCTCTACACGTTACATTTTTGCGGATCCTAAACATAGTAAACCATGCTAGGTTTGTTGAAATTAAGATCGTATTGCAGTACAAGACTGAAAGTCGAAATATTTTAATAAGTTTAACATAATGAGGTTATCTAAAATGAATATGGTTGGTGATTCAATTATATTCATTTAGACAGAATATTCGTTTACAAAAAATTAAATTATTAATAAAATTGTAATATTTTATATATATATTTTTTTAAAGCTTTGATAGTTCTGTTAATCACCTTTATTAAGAATCTTGTATACAAATTTGTATACAGTTAGTTTAAATTTTGATCTGATATTTTTTGATTGTTTCAAAAGTGTTTAGAGACAGTTTGTCATATTAGTTAATGTATTACTCTTTTTTTTTGACGTTAAGGTGAGGTCATACTTCTAGTCTTTATTAGTACATATTGTTATAGCTTGTACAATTTTTTTTATATTATACATTATTTATTACTTTATATATTTATATTAGAGCTAAGACTTAGACATATTTATTTGCAACCTAAATTTATCAGAGTTCTGTATTGTATTCTACTTACATCTAACCTGGATTTTTGCTTCATATCTAATTATATCAAGTAATTTGCATATTCTTTTTATGCCTTACAACCTATTTTTAGTAACTCTTAAATTGATTTGTTAGATCATTTATTTTTTTTGAATTATCATTTTTGGTGTGCTTAAAAAGGTTTTTTTAGTACATATTTCAAGTCAAGGTATTGTTGTTATTGTTAACTTCTTAATTTAAGTCTGATCTTAGTATTATTATTCACTTAAAAGATCTG